TGGGTGGGGAGAACATACAGATGTCAAGGGAAATAAAGATCCTGGGACTCACGATCGATGATAAACTGACCTTTAACACCCACGTCAGTAACGTTTGTCGTAAGGCCCAGAATTTGTACAAGCAACTCGCGAGGGCTGCAAAAATCCATTGGGGACTAAACAGCGATGTCATCAAGACAATCTATGTGGCGGTGGTAGAGCCGGTTATCCTTTACGCGGCAAGCGCTTGGGCACCAGCGGCAAACAAGGCCCAAGTAAAGAAAAAATTAAGACTGGTGCAACGTGGTTTTGTTCAAAAAATTGTCAAAGCTTATAGGACCGCCTCTTTGAACTCAGTTCTCCTGCTAGCGGGGCTGCTTCCTCTGGACATAAGGATCCGAGAGGCAGCCTCTCTTTACGAAATAAAGAGAGGCCTCTCGCAGAGAGTAGTGGGAGACAGAGAACTGGAGGGGCGGGTCCCGTTCAGCAAAACACCACACCCTGTGGAGCAAATAGGGCCACAGTTCATATGCTATGGAGACGGTGCACAAGTGGAACAAGTTAGTACGGACATCAGAATATACACAGACGGAAGCAAGATTGAAGGGAAGGTTGGTGCGGCGCTATCTATATGGGATAATGTCGCAGAAATCGGAACCAAGAAACTCAAACTGGACCACTTCTGCACCGTCTACCAGGCGGAACTGTTGGCCTTACTTGAGGCTACTAGGGTAGCATTACAAAAACCAGAACGAAGCTGAAGCATATACAGCGACTCAAGGTCTGCACTGGAAACAGTGAGCCGCAGTGACTCCCTCCACCCCATGGCCGTAGAGGCAAGGGAAAATATTATCAAACTAAAAAGGCGGGGCGGATCCCTTGTTCTCTACTGGATAAAGGCACATGTTGGTCTGGAGGGAAACGAACGAGCAGACCATCTAGCAAAGGAAGCTGCGCTAAAAACTAAAACACGGCCACATTATAATAGGTGCCCGGTTTCATTTGTCAAGCGTCAAATCCGTCAAGATTCGCTTGACGAATGGAACCGGAGATACCAAGAAGAGACGACCGCAACTACTACCAAATTATTTTTCCCAGACGCCACACAAGCATACGCAACAATGAGAAAATTAAATATAGACCCACTTACGACACAGCTACTGACAGGACATGGCGGATTTTCTGAGTACTTGCATCGTTTTCGGTGCAAGGAGAGCCCGTCATGTGACTGCGAGGCAGGACCAGTACAGACAGTAATGCACTTGCTCACCGAATGCCCAGTTTATTCTAGAGAGAGATTTGAAATCGAAACGGAATGTAAAATAAAAGTAAATAGACTTAATATACCGAATTTAATAGCAAATAAAAATACTAGAGATAAATTTATGATGTATAGTAAGAAAATTGTGAAAAGAACAGTAAATAAAAATAAATAAGGAACATAAAATGGGGAACATTTTGTAATATATACCATGTATATGTCCAAAATCCCCAACAAATAGAGTTGTTGCATGCAAATAGCAAAATAAATATTATAAGGTATACTAGGTAATAAGAATAAACAAAAATAGACGGTTATGTAATAGATGTAAGAGAAATAAGATTGAAATAGGTAACAAAATAGCATAAATGTACCAAAACTGTGAGGTATTGAGATGATTGTGAGGTGTTAAATACTAATACATAGGATAAGTTATAGATTTGTAATAAGTAAAGTTAATGTAACAATCCACAAAAAGAAAATAAAAAGTAAGAACTAGAAATATATTAAGGAAATGTATACTAAACTATAAGCTACAAAACAAAAGTAATAAGAATTAGTAAGTAATAAGAATAAACAAAATAAAATAGTTGATAATGTAATAGATGTAAGTTGAAATAAGATATAAACAGACACCAAAATAATATAAATGTATCAAAACGGTGAGAAAGCAAGACTGTAATAACAGTAATACATAGGATAACATATTGTAGCTGTAATAAGCGAAAAAACACTCAAACAGAAAAATGAAATGAGAACCAGAAGATATAAAAAGTAAAATGTATTTAAATTATAAGTAAAAAATGTATAAAATAAAAAAGAACATCGTGCCAAAAGTGCTGGTACGAAAAGAGCACAACTGAAAAATAAGGTCCCTGATCAAACATGTCAGGGGAAAAAGAGAAAAAAAAAAAAAAAAAAAAAACCTAACCAATGTTAAAAGTATAAAATAATAGTTTTAAATTGGTCTTACTCCATCCATTTAGCTCTCGTCGTCGTCGTTTAGGCTGTTAGGAACCATCAAAATTAATTAAAATAATAACATAAGTAATTAGATTGACAAATAAATTTCTCCAAATTTTAATATATTCATACCGTTTTCGCTCAGTTGGACAGGCACGGCTCTGGAACCGTCCCCAAGACACCGGGAATAATTTATTTCCGGAGAAAAAGTCAAATTTTCGCCTGCCCGCCCTCCCGTTCAAGATTACTTAAGTAGACTTTATACCTGAGAAAATCGGAAATCGGAAATTCAAAAAACTTTCTCCGGAATCTTGTCAGGCCTGACCTCAGTAGTCATCAAATCTAAAAATCGCTTCCATATATTACTGAACAACGTTCTAAAAAACTTTTTAAAACAATTCAAATAAATAAATTGAAAAGGGAGTATAACGTACCAGGTGACGTCGTCAGGGAGCTGAATTGCAACAGCCTTATTTGATGACCTAAGGGATAAACGGGAAGACGTTTTCCCCTATAGTTTTACATTAATATGCAAGTCTAGTAAGACCCTTATATTATTATATGAGGATATATTGACAATTAAAAAATTTGTTTTTACATTAGACAATATTGATTGACACAGGCAGACACCTCTTATACCTATACATATAAGAGGACATATAAAACATCGTCATTTTTGACAATTACACTATATCCACACTTTTCCAACAAAAAACACTTATATATTACTTTACACTTTCCCCGCCAAAATGTTCGGGATCCGTACACCAAAGAAAAGGACTCAAGGAGGAGACATAGAACGAAGCCCACCACAAATTGTAGGACCATCTCAGAAGGAACTACACGTCATAAGCAAAGTGCGAAGAAGCATTGGAGAGTGGGAAAAAGATGGGAAGGACTCGGATCCCGCAACTCAGGTACGGTTGACTAAGCAAATCCCGGCTGTCCGTACAAAGCCAATAGCTGGCTCTTCGACAAGTAGAACATCATTTGAAAGGGAAGGGGGCTCACCAGACAAGGTGGCTCCTAAGTACGCAGATCGAGTTGCCGAGGCCAAAGCCTGCTTGAATAAAGCCAAGCTCTACCTTAGCAATTCCAGAAACTTGCGTACGGACATAAAAAATGAGGTCACACAGGCAATTGACAGGCTCTACCAGCTGGTTAAGGAAGCGGAAGCAGAAAGGAAACAAAAAGAGGGAAGTCAGGGAATCAACCAGGATAAACAGGATAAAGAGGAAAACCTAGAAAACAGGATGGAGAGAGGGAGTGAAAAGGAAATAGAAATGAAAGATAAGTTAATAAAAAAGATTGAAGAACACGAGAAAATTATTGAAGAAAACAGAAAAGATATGTCAAAACTAGGAGACATGTTAAAGGAACGGGAAATTAGGGAAGAAAAAATGACCTACGCCAAGGTGACAGCTGGGACGAGTGTAAACATACCACCGAAACAGGTGGCGACACACTCGGTAGTCATTACATCGACGGATGACATGGATACAGGGGATCAGGTGGTGGAAAAAATTAGGAAAGTAATAAATGCGCGAGAAGAGGGGTTAAGGATTGATCGTATACGAAAGGCGAAAGACAGAAGAGTAATTGTAGGATGTAGCAGCCAACAGGAAATTAAAAAGATTATGGACAGAATAAATGAGGAAGGGACACATCTCACCGCGGAAGAAATTAAAAATAAGGACCCACTGGTGGTTTTGAAAGACGTCATGAGCTACAACACCGATTACGACATATTACAGGCCCTTAAGAAGCAAAACCAACATCTTCTAGCTGGAGTGAGTGAGGAGGACCTGCGCATGGAGGTCAAGTACCGGAAAAAGACCAGGAACTCCCTCACCTCCCATATAGTACTTAAGGTGTCGCCACGGCTATGGAGGCTCATGACTGAAAACGAAATACTCCATATAGATCTCCAAAGAGTGCGGGTGGCGGACCAATCTCCATTAATTCAATGCTCCAGGTGCCTGGGGTATGGGCACACAAAAAGACTCTGCACCGAACAGATAGATACTTGCAGTCACTGCGGAGGCCCACACCTCAGAGTGGAGTGTTCAGATTGGATCGCGGGCGAAACACCTATATGCAAAAATTGCACCAAGGACAAGTACGAACGTAGGGACCACAACGCATTTAGCGCTGACTGTCCAGTTAGAAAAAAGTGGGACGCCTTGGCAAGGTCATCCGTGGCATATTGCTAAGGTGGCCTCCAAGGGACCTGCAAGCCTGACCTCAAAAGGAAGATATCATGCCTCACCGGGAAAACTTCAAAGTGCCGGACGGAAAAGATATTCCATAAAATTAGGCAGGGTTTTTAAATAACAAGTCCAAAAGAAACTAAGCACACAAGAGCGAAAAATGAAGAAGAAAAAAGTAGGTAAATCAAAATTACAAACAAAGTTAAAACAAGTATTGAGTAGCATGTATATCTGGATAAACTAGAGAAACAGAAATACAAAAGAAGTGTTAAATATAAAATTGTGCACGTACATAGTATGTATGGAGACACAATTTTAGTAGTTAAACGAAGCAAAATAAGAAAAAGAAGAAATCACAGATATAAAACATAAGATTTAATAAAAAGTAAAAGACATAAGACAAAAATTTCACGGAATAAGAGTGTCCAATGAAATAACATAAATATAATAAAATGAAGACACCCGTAAGAAATAAACTACATGGAGAAGCAAAACAGTAATAAAAATGTAAAGAAAAGTGAAACAATAAGTCCAAATCGCCAGGAATCCTAGATTTAACATAATAACAAAATAGAAAATGAAATAATTTTGAAAACAAGGGCCCTGATCCACCCATGTCAGGGGAAAAGTAAATAAATAAATAAAAAAAAAAACCTAACCTAACCTAACCTAACCTAACAAAACTCTGGTGGATAGTGGGGTGGTGCACGTTGATCTCCAGCGGATAATAGTAATGGACCAATCCCCCCTGATCCAATGCTCGAGGTGCCTGGGGTACGGGCACACGAAGAGGCTGTGTACCGAGACAACGGATGTGTGCAGTCACTGCGGTGGTCCACACCACAAGGCTGAATGCGCAGAGTGGCTCACGGGGGAAACCCCTTCGTGCAGAAACTGCACAAAGGCGAAGACGGACCGGAGAGACCATAATGCGTTTAGCACGGACTGCCCAGTGCGCAAAAAATGGGAGGCCCTGGCTAGATCTTCGGTAGCCTATTGCTAAGGTGGCCCCGGTGAATACCAGCAGTCAAACAGGCAGCCACCAGTATCGCGTGATCCAGACCAACCTCCAAAGGAGCAAAATTGCGACAGCTGAACTAATTATTGAGGCAATAACACAAAAGTTCGCATTTGCTCTCCTCCAAGAGCCATATGTTGGTGGCATCGGTGAAATGAGGCAGTATCCAGGTGCAAGGATAGTGCAGTGTAGCGGCAAAAGGACATCGGGGAAGGTTGTCAAGGCAGCCATTGTACTGTTTGATGACACCATCAACATCACTCAGTACCCGGGTCTCACAACGGAGAACATCGCCGTCGCAATGCTGAGGACCGGGTCCTGGGAGGTGGGGGTGGTGTCAGTGTACCTGGAACCAGATGTGCCCATCGAACCATACATGGATGCGATCATAACAACCCTGGAAGGTCTCAAAACCAAAAATATTATACTGGGGGGCGACTTTAACGCCTGGAACAGCTGGTGGGGAAGTAGGGAGACCGACAGGAGGGGGGTAGAGGTGGCGGCCACACTGGACCAGCTACAACTCCACATCCTGAACAGGGGGAATGAGCCCACCTTTGATACCATACGGGGAGGGAGAAGGTACTCCAGTTGCGTCGACATAACGACCTGCTCGGCGAGCCTGCTCTCCAAGGCGACGGGCTGGAGGCTTTCCGATGAGATTGCTAGCTCGGACCACAGAGCAATTCTGTTTGAGATCGGCCTGAAAAGGGCAGCGGGCACAGACGTCAAAAGAACAACGCGAAAATATAATACTAAGAAGGCAAACTGGAGCGAGTTTCGTGGGAAACTCGCTCAGTCTTGGGAAAACCAAACGATAACAACGGAAACCTTAAACAACGTTAGAGAAAAAAAGGATTTAGATAAAGTTGTTGAAATATACACGAAAACTATAGTTGACGCCTGTGACAGCAGCATTCCCAGGCTGAAAGGAGGGGCTCGAGTGGGATTGCCCTGGTGGAATGAAGAGTTAAGTAGTCTCAAAAGAAAGGTTGCCAGGTTAAAGCGCCGTATCTCTTATGCTGCGCCTGTCAGAAAGAACTGGGTCGTGGAGCAGTACGTTGCGGCGAAAGCAAGTTACCAGCTGGAGGTAGGGAGGGCTCAAACCTCCAGTTGGAAGGAGTTCTGTAGTAAGCAGGATCGGGAATCTATGTGGGACAGTATTTACAGGGTGATAGGCAGAACGACAAGTAGATTAGAAGAACTTCCACTTGTCTGCGGGGGAAATACCCTAGGAAGGGAAGAGTCAGCCAGGGCCTTGGCGGAAATCTTCTACCCAGAGGATACGGTTGAAAGCGACGGGGCGGCCCACAAACTGGTGAGAGAGGTAGCCGTAAACATAAATGCAGAGGCACATGATGAAACATGCGACCCACCGTTTACGGCGGAGGAGTTAATGTGGGCCGCATCGAGCTTCAATCCCAAAAAGGCCCCAGGCAATGACGCGTTAACGGCAGACATTTGCCAGGCTGCTATCACCCTGAATGTAGAGCTCTTCCTGGCGCTCACGAATGCGTGCCTCCGCCTGGCACACTTTCCTAAGAAGTGGAAAGAGGCGGTGGTATTGTTTCTGAGAAAGCCGGGAAAGGACGATTACACACACCCCAAATCCTACAGACCCATTGGTCTCCTGCCGGTTCTAGGAAAGATCCTAGAGAAAATGCTTATGCGGAGGATCAGATGGTTCGTATTGCCGGCCATCAGCAGAAGGCAATACGGATTTCTACCGCAACGCAGTACCGAGGATGCCCTCTATGACCTGATGAAAGTAATTAAGACCCATAGAAAAAACAAGAACTTGTACTTTAATATCACTTGACATAGAGGGAGCCTTCGACAATGCTTGGTGGCCGGCCATCCGCTGTGGACTGGCAGATACAGGCTGCCCGGTAAACCTGAGGCGCGTGGTTGACAGCTATCTTCAAGATAGAACCGTGCGCGTCAGGTATGCCGGTGCGGTATGGGTAAAGTAAACTGCTAAGGGGTGTGTGCAGGGCTCAATCAGGGGTCCCGCATTGTGGAATCTACTCTTGAACCCACTCCTGGAGGAGATTGGTGGAGGAGGTGAATATTGTCAAGCATTCGCGGATGACGTCGTCCTTGTGTTCTCCGCGGACACAGCTCTCGAAATTCAGCGACGGGTAAACGCCGTCCTGGCACAGGTGCAGAGCTGGGGAGATAAGAACAAATTGAAATTTGCGCCAAGTAAGACCAAGGCTATGTTGGTCACAAATAAGTTAAAATATGACACTCCAGTTGTGCACATGGGCCAGGGGTAATTGATATGTCCCAGGAGATGAAGATTCTGGGCCTTACAATAGATGCCAGATTGACTTTCAATGGTCATATAAAAGGTGTCTGTGTGAAACATCCACCCCGGCTCCACCAGTGGGAGATCGGTGTAGGGGTTCGCTCCGGCTGACTCAATCGGACCGATCAAGACCACAGGGTGAGGCTCGGTGACCCAGTCACGGGGACGGACAGAATTATTTTAAATAGGCGCCAGCCCGCCCCGTGCAAGACAGAATAATGCTTATTCTAAGGGATTGGCTAAGTGGAAATAAAAGATACATTCCTTAACAGTTTTAGAATTTATTGATACAAGATTGAATATAAAGCTAAACTATATAATGTTAAAATATTGAAAGGAGTGAGATCTCACTAATAGGCATAAATATCAAGATTAAGATTTGGGAGTACATTAGATTAATCACCGTTACATAGCAGTATATAAAACACAATCATCAGTTTAATGGCTAGTTACAGATTAGAGCAAAAACATACCAGAAGGAACCAGGCTTGCCTTCCTAGTTTCCAAATAAGTGTGAAGACCTCAGCTCAGCAATCCTCACATGCCACCGAGGGGCATTCAGCTAGTGCGCGGCTTCAAGTTGCACGTGGACAGCAGGACCTCAGATTCTTAATATATATGCAGTTGCATACAAAGCGAACGCGTGTTTCGATATCAAGCCATCAGAGAGAAGCAGCTCAGCGAGATAAAGCAGAATAATAATAGGAATAAGATTTAAAAAAAAAACCCTGTAACAAAATACGAAATGTTAGAAAACGAATAATGGACCGAAAACAGTCAGATCCTAAAAATATATACAACAGAGGAAACTTACCAACGATGTGGGTTTTTTATATTAAATATAAAGGCCAAGAAGCCATATACAAGTAGGATGTCAACGGATGTGGCCCAAGATGCCACATATTCCTCTCCTACATGCTCCTACTTAGAAAGGAGACGTGTCGCCACCAGACGCTCCAACAACACAAACAAACTTCAAGACGAAACCGACCGCCGTTCTCCTCGGAACGACAGATGTCACAATCAACATAGACTATGCTAAACAAGACAACGTTTCCAAGCGAAAATTATGTAAAAACAAATTTGCTTGATATTAGTCCAATAAAACTAAAATGATATTATTTTATATTTAGAGACAATAATATCACTAGCGCCGAAATAATCCAAGAAAATAAACTAAGGCAAAACAACAAGGTGACTTAGCGCCATCTATAATAACTGAAATATAGATTTTCTAAGGTTTCATTCAACTAAATTATATTGTTCACAACAGATGTCGCTATATTTTCTACTATGGATCGCTAATATAAGCCACTCTAAACTCAAGGGTACGAGGCGTCGAAAAAAAAGTGTTACACGTGGTAAGGCACAGAATATATACAAACAACTATCATAACAACTATGTGGAACCGGTGATCCTGTATGCGGCGAGCGCCTGGGCACCAGAAACCTACAAGGTTCAGGCACGTAAACAATTGAACCTGGTGCAACGCGGCTTCGTGCAGAAGATTATTAAGGCACATAGGACCGTCTCCTTAAACTCGGCCCTGGTACTCGCCGGGTTGCTTCATCTGGATATTAGGGTCAGGGAAGCAGCCTCTCTTTATGAAATAAAGAGAGGTTACTCTAGGCGTATTATTGGGGACCGGGATTTGGAGAGGCCTGTACCATATGCCAAGATGCAACACCCAGTCAAGCAAACCGGGCCAGGATTCATATGTCTGGGGGATGGTGCACAAATAACCCAACAAAGTACACGACTAAACATCTTTACGGACGGAAGTAAATTAGAAGGGAAAGTTGGCGCAGCGCTATCCATAAGAGATGGCGCTGCGGAAACCAGTACCAAAAAACTCAAGTTGGGGGATTTTTGCACCGTCTACCAGGCGGAATTACTGGCCCTGTTAGAAGCCACTAAAGTGGCACTTAGGGATCCTGCACGAGGCTGACACAATATATAGCGACTCAAGATCTGCTCTTGAAACGATCAGTCGCGGCGACTCCCTGCACCCCATGGCCGTAGAGGCGAGGGAAAATATCGCAAACCTGAAAGATCAGGGCGGTTCCCTTGACCTCTACTGGATCAAGGCCCATGCGGGATTGGAGGGAAACGAAAGAGCAGATTTCCTGGCAAAGGAGGCCGCACTCAGGATCAAGACGAGGCCACATTACGACAGATGCCCGGTTTCATTCGTCAAGGGGCGTATCCGTCAGGAGTCCATTGACGAGTGGAACCGTAGGTATCAGGAGGAGCAGACAGCCTCAACTACGAAGATCTTCTTCCCCAGCATAAGTAAAGACGTGCACCACCAAATAAGAAAAATTGACCTAGATCCGTTACTGGTGCAGCTGCTGACAGGCCACGGAGGCTTTGCAGGCTACCTGCACAGATTTAGGTGCAGAAGCAGCCCTGCATGCGAGTGCGATGTGGATACAGAGCAAACCGCAATCCACTTAGTGACAGAGTGCCCTGTCTTTGAACGCGATAGAATAGACCTGGAAATAGTAATTAATAGTAAAATAACATCAACAAATATACATAACATCATGGCGAACACAGAGACCAGAGACACATTCAAGATTCTGTAAAAAAGTAGTCAAAATTGCAAACAAGAAAAACAAGTAAAGGAAACAAAAGAGGTTTGTACGACATACATATAAGTATGCCATACAAAGCCCGTCGATATGAGGAATAAGACAGTACAGTACATACAGTATAATAGATATAGTATAATTAGGTGAGTAGATAATAATTATTGTAATCCAGATAACAGATACAGAATAACAAGAAGCACGGAAATGTATTAATGTAAGAAAAATAAATATACTGAAGTAAAGTATAGTAGTAAGTTGTAGTAGTGGATAAGCATTAGATATTAGATTGTACAAGTAAAGAGAATAATGTATCTAGATATAAGTAAAAATATGTAAATTGTAATAGTGTGTAGTGTAATTTTTCAGTAGTAGTAAATATTAAGAGTAAAACCGGTAGTAATAGTAGTATTTAGTAAAATACAAGAATTGTTACCATATTTATACATAGAAAAGAACAACGTACTCAGAGTATGAAAAGAGCTTCGTAAAAAAGGTCCCTGATCCCACATGTCAGGGGAAAACGAAAAAAAAAAAAAAAAAAAAAAAAAACCTAACCTAACCTAACCTAACCTAACCTAACCTAAACTACCGACCGACCGACCGACCGACCGACCGACCGAGCGAGCGAGCCGACTTGCTTTTCGGCTGCGTTCCCGGACGGTGATATAACCACTAGTGCTGCTTATTGTTATATTAGTTGTTGGAGCGCATTAAAATAGTGCTCTGTTCTGTCTCCTAAGCTGGAAACATATTGTCATAAGTCAAAGTTCTGAGCATATTTTAAGAAAAGCATCAACAGCAGTTTACTCCTCAAGGGGTAGGATTGGTAGGAGGTAGGACAGAGAATGGTCCATGCAATTTTATTGATAATATTTCTTGTTATATAATACGGACACCGTAGTATGCCAATAATTTTCGTCATTTTTATTTTGAAATATTTTATTAAACTTTGTTTTAAATTGTTATACAACAAACAATAGTACAACAAAATAATTACAAGTATATAGTAGTTTACAGTTAATTGATTCCAAAGATCGTACTGAAAAATCCGTAGAAGAGGATCCTGCTAACCGCCGACTATGGCTGGAATTAAAAAAAAAAATTTCAAATTAAAAAAGCATATCATTGGTTGTATAATTAATGATTATATGATAATACGTATGATGATATAATAAAATATTATGTACTGTATCACTTTATTATAGGTTTAGTTTATTTTACTTTGACTGATGTTCTTGTTGTCGGTTCATAAAGAACTGAATTTTCATAAAACGCAGACCTTCATACAGCCCAATTACACACAGTACAGTAAATAAATTGTAGTAGTACATGCGTACTCCTACAATTTATTTAAACGATTAATTTGGTGCAACAGTAGTGATTTCAAGGAGACAATTTTTTTCCCATTTTGAGGACACAGCCACCACAAATACTTTTGAAGTGTTATGTAAGTAAATTTTATAATACTATACTATATTAAATTTACGCGGAATGTTAAATAATACGTTTATAGGTTGAGTAATTAGATAAAATTTGATGGAAACGTAATACACAGTGTAGTGTTATCTCACCTGTCTCCGTGAAGTTTGCGAAGAGTCCAGCCAACTGCGCCAACGCATTCACTTTAGCAATCGAATGCTCAATATGCGCCAGAGCCAAGGCCCCTAAGATGGACGTCCCATTCAGTGCACTCCTGGAACAATGGAAACGAGTAATACGATGGAAAAGAGAAACCAATAATGTTTAAACGAAATGATTCCAATTAATTTTACAAGTATTGTGTATGCAAATCGTTTTTAAGTGTATTCAAATGAAGACACTATGTTATTAAAACAAAATATAATTAATTCCCTGTCAAAAGTCGAATATAATGCTGTGTTATAATGAGTTCATAGCATTTTTATTTTTATACTTAAATATAAGAACCTACTCCTGAATCACAGTTGTTATATTTTATAACGCAAAGTATTAAACTGAAAAGAGTTCCAAATTGCCAAAAAAATTGGGAATCAAATTAAGTTTTACATAAACCTACTCTAAATTATATATTAAAATTTACTAGGAACGTATTGAAGAAAAATAAATTGTATAGTCTGCTCGAATAATTATTCTTACTCACGTTGTATCGAAAGCGTCCAGAAATCCGAATAAGGGACTGGCATCGCTCCCCATCACCCACTGTAGAGTTAAAATTTATCTAAATATGTATTAGTAAAACAATAAATCATTCGTAACATATCGTTTTAATGGTACTTTTATTGTGTGGTGTCTGATAACTGATTTATATAAAAAACGTCAATGTTTTTCAATAACAAACATTAACTGATACTGATATATCATTTACACTGGCAACCAAGGCAGAGGTAAGACATGTAACGTACAGATTTTTGTAGTTTTTCTTCTTTTGGCGCGTTTGAAAAAAATATGACAGCAAAATTTTACGATGCGCGCGCACTCCAACCCATAAAAAGCGACATGGTGAAGTTGGCTGCAGATCACAGTATTGCCACGGCAACCAGTGGAATTTTTTTGATATTTAGCTATAACTAGCTGCGCCCGCGACTTCGTCCGCGTGGAATTATACTATATGTGTTATTAAAAACTAATATAATCCTTACTAATATTATAAACGCGAAAGTTTGTATGTATGGATGGACGTTTGTTACTGTTTCACACAAATACTACTGAATAGATTTTAATAAAACTTTACTATAATATTAAGCACATAGGCTATAATTTATATACATATTTTATGTAAAGCAGTCTTTCTATCCTTCAGCCTATTTACGCAGACGTAGTCGCGGGCAGCAGGCACTTAATAGCGATAGCGTAGTCGATCGATAAATAAATTTTTAAAAGTCTTACGAGGACGAGTAGAAACGGTAAAGCGGGGAGGAATCGGGAGCTGATGCTCATGACGTAGCAGGAGAGCGACATCTTTGCCAGTGGGGAAGTAGTTAATGCTTCAGATTTATATACGGACGTGCACAATTAAATGACATTGCTGACGGATATCTGGAGCACATTTTGTTTGCAATTATTGTACAATAAGGAATAGAATACTTAACACTGAATACGATAAATAGGTATTCATGGGGAACATCTATGGTTGACTATTGAAAACATTACAAATAGAAATTGAATAGTTATATATGCAAAACATGTTGTAATGTACTCTTAATATGCATAAATTAATAAAGTTATGTTATACAATAAAAAGCCCACGGTATTTCACTGGAATTAATGTGGAATATGGAGTTTTGAAATTATTTTAAAGACTTTAATTTGACATTTTTTTAATTTTAAAGTTTTTTAAAGTGCTAATCTCTGTACTAAAGCTTGTACATTAAAACGTGTAGAAAAAGTACGAAAAGATTGTCGCCGCTGTGGGAATCGATCCCACGTCTTCGGCTTTCGCGGCCTGACGCTCTAGCCACTGAGCTAAATGCGAATGCCGAAGACGTGGGTTCGATTCCCACAGCGGCGACAATCTTTTCGTACTTTTTCTACATGTTTTAATTGACATTTTTTGTTTATTTAAGAAGGTGGCAAGCGAGCTGGTGGTTCACCTGATGATACATGATAATAACACCTTAGATGCGTTCGCACCTTTTTATAAAGTGGGTCCCGGCTACCTCACTCACCAGACGAAACGCAGAAGTATGACACTTCCACTTCACACCGCTCTTATGTGAGGCTAGAGTACTTACCCGGGCCGACATGCCCATTTGTGCAACAGCCGAAGTTGTTCCATGATCACACATAAATATCATATCACAGTTAAATTATTTTTTTTATTTAAATAATTTGAAAAGAAAACCAGTAACGATTTTTTTGTTATAACTCACATCGACTTTCGGGACCTTCCAACAGTGAAGTGGCAAAATTAGTTCAGTTGTCATCAGTTTATTGCATGAAATTTACCGGTTAATTGATATGTAACCATGGGCAAATAAGTTTCCAACGTAGGAAATGTTGGAAGCCGAAAGTTCATTACCATTTGCCTGAAGTAACTCCAAATGTAAATGAGTTTTAGTGCTACTTCAATTTCATTCAAAAACTGTAGATGTAAGTGGGAACGGTAAACGCAAGAGGGAAATTTGTATCTTGTATGTATTGTGCATATAATTATGTTGCAAGACATTTGAACTGAAAGAAGTTGAGATACACCCAGAAGCAGTTGCAAAATTGAGCAGAAAATTGCCATCACAGCGGCCTGGTAGGACGCCTGAGACTGTGGAAGAACGTGGCAAACGAGTAAACTGTCCATCTTATGGTAAATGGTATCAACCATCCATGGACATTTCAGTGCTGGCAACTTCCGTAGGGTTTGATTTCTTTTGATTGAAAATCTTTAAGAAAACGAGCGTCTGGATACCTTATTTACAAAAGAGTCAATACCTCTTTTAGCTTGGTAATAACCATTAGAATTATATTACCTGTACCTTCTTATATCAAGTACGAGTAGATAGAAAGTCAGCGATGGATTAGTGCATATGACGCAAGACTTGTGATCTAAATGAACCGATTTGCTGGATTTTCTCATGAGTGATCAATAAAGTAATTCACATCCAACCTGCATAATCTGTACACCCGAGCAGGTTTTTTCTAATTTGGGTATTATAAAATTCGCTGAACAGTGGACGGCTCCAGCTATCTCAGTCTATGGCTGCCGATTAGCTGGATGGAACGACTTGAAAACTCTCCGGTGTTATAGTTTCACGATCGTTGCGTAACGATCGGCCAGTACCGATTTACGGGTCCCGCTCCATGCGAGGGGTTCGGTGCGAGGGTGCGAGCGGCGAGGGTGCCGCGGCGGCGGGGGCGCGGCTCTCTCAACGCTCAGTCAGTGTCGTCGCGGCGGGAAGAGCGGCCCGACCTCGCTACAGCCCCTAACTAGTGCCCATCGTAATCCAGAGCTGCGAGACACGCACCGGTGAGTAAGAAATTATCAGCGGAATTGCGATGTCATCTATGAAACCGATCACGTTATTAGCCAAAAAGCGAGAGAAAATAATTTCTCAATCAATTTCTCGTTTCTTCTAGGATAAATAATTTGAGCATAAATGAACAGAACAAATTCTGTTCATTCAGTAGAGTTCAGTTCTTAGTCGTAGAGTCAGTAGTGTTAAGAATAAAATTAATTCTTTTTCTACTCTAATTATATATTTTAACACGTGAATTATAATAGTCACGAGTTTACAAAAATGGTCTACCTGTTTGATAATTTAGAAATGTTTCTTAATATTTTTTTATTTTTTTCGCATAATTTCATGGGACAAGTGTGGAAATTAGATTTTTTTTTGAGTCGAAGATATAATTCGCATTGAGTGCGTTTTGTTTTCTTTTTTTCATATAAAAAGAACATTTTTAAAGACGTGAGCCATTGTTTATGGATCCGTGCTTCAGAATCTGTTTTTTATCTGTCATCATTTTAATCTCAATTTTAAGAACTAAGTTATAAATCGAGTTATTATTATAGGTTATAAACTATATATATAATTAAGTTATGTATATTTCGTTGGTGTATATATAAGAACATAATGTTATGTAATATCCCTAAATATTTCAATATGTATAATGTTGTCTAATAAATAAATAAATAAATCTTTTCTTTCTTTGCATGAAACTTTTGTGTTTATCAGTTTTGATTAGTCTTTCAAATAAAAATTAAATAAAAACAATACATTTTCCTATTTATGATCCGACCTGTTATAATGAATGCTCAAATATTCAAAATGTCCGGAAAAAAATTTGAACATATCATCCGTGAAAGTACTTTCAATCAATGATTGTGTAGCTTGCGTATTAAAATATAGAAAGTAATGGTAAAACAATTTTAAATAATTCATTTAGGTAAAACGAAACTTACACTAATCCTAACTCTATATTAAATTTAAAATTTGTAATTTATCTATTTATCTAAATTTTACATAACCTTGATGGAAAACTCCTAGTGTTTTGTGGGTTATACGATGTATCTCAACATAATACAATATTATTAGACATTAAACCCTTACAGATACATTATTTACGCGCCATTTGACGTCTCTGAACGATTTGCAACAGCCTTTTTTCCCCAAATGTCTTCTCTCGACAAATATTAAAGCATTTAACACATTATTACTTTTATCAAAATAATAATAATATTGGCTAAGGAAAAAACCTCGAGAGCAAAAATAATATAAAATTAGATGAAGAAAAAAAAGGAAGTCGATACTTTAAAAATATTGAAATTGTCAACACTTTTTTTAAAAATACATATAATTAAACATAAATTAAAAGCTTTTGTAGCTTATCAAACGTATTCTGAATAATCATATTAAATAATAAACAGCATGACCCCGAAGCGCTCTATCTCAGAGCTTAGAATAACCTTTAGGGAATATAGAATGCTTTGCATATCACGTATTTAAAGCCTTTTACGAAATTACTTACATGTACGAGCGTAATCAAAAATTTAAGCAAATACATACATTATTCAACAAATTGGTGAATAAACAAGATAAAAAAATAATAACAAGGGATATACCTGAACTTTTAATTTTAATTACTCTAAGCTTGTAATTCCAAGGGAATTTGAATTTTCTTGGTTAAATTGTAAAATTTATGTAACAATATGCTGAACGTTAAAAATCAGCGAAGAAGGAGCGCTTATCTTACACTGATCTGATTGAATCTCTTGAAACTGGTTAAAAATTCTACTAAGCGTGTATAAAGAAATATCCTGTTTAATTTTATCTTGACCAGGAAAAGAAATAGTTCGAGGTTATAATTTATAGCTTTAATTCTCAAGCTAGACTCAAAGAGTCTTTGCTTTTGCTAAAATGAAAAGAACATCCTCATGGAAAACATTCATTCTTCATAATAAGGCTTGTTCCGACGTTTGCACTTGCGATGAAAGAGTTGTGTAAAATATGACTAAGATTTGTACAAAACGCCGAATAACGTGATAGGCGATTGTTTGTTGAGTAAACTGGTGTGGTGGGTGCGCGGCTACAGGGTTCACGCCATTAGTCCGAGAGCAAACGAAAATTAAGTCATTAAGTCAAGTATAACAGTATGCGACCTTGATGCACTAGACATAGACTAACGCAAGCTGAAATTATTGGTTGCACTAGAAAAGTACACATAAAAGGATTGCTATTTCGGAAAGGCGATTAAAATAACTATTTTTGCTATTTTATTTCTTCGACTGGATTTCCGACTGACCTATAAATGAATGACCAATAAACTTTAGGTGCTATGGTTATGTGAATGTCAATTAATGAAATAAATATATGTTTGATAGAATCAATACTATATTTTTTGGTTTGAATGCGGAAATAATGAAGATAATTCTTGTTTAGCAATTGTTAGCATATTATGTTTCCTGCACGTTATGAATTGTCGACTTCAAATATTACTCTACATATGTAAAATAGAAAAGGGAACTTTTAGCATAGGAACATATTCGGACACAACAAGGAATTTAATCAGAAGGAAAAAATGTAGACGAATATCACGGGTCCAGTGGTCACGCAATATCGTCCCTCGTTCCCATTTGAATAACTGGCCGGGTAAATAAGAGGTGGGTTGCTGGGAGACAGGCGGATGGCCCGGGGACACTTTCGATACCCGGACCTATTGTGTTGCTATCCTCGGGCTATGAATGAGTCGGTCTCGGGGGCCACACGAAGTCCGTGGAGGGATTGGAGATTAGGGAATGCAATACGCGAACTAAGATTATATTGGCAGAGGTTTATTTGTGTTAATATCGCAGAAACGAATATGTTTTATGTGAATACTGATGTTTCTATTCGATAAAGCAGTTATGTTGTTTGAGATAGTAATACTTCTCTGGGATGATAGTTTGTAAACACAGTAAACCTAAATATGCATAAGTTTAAAGTGATCTTAGATCGTAAAAAGTCGATAGCGATGATAAGTAGTATAACTTTAATGTAACTTTATAATTTGTTGAAGAAATGTTTGATTTACTCGTATAAAATACATATGAGAAATCCAGATCTGAAAGAATTTCCTGAAGGTAAATTCTATGAAGTCTTTTACTTATAGATTAGCTATAGCGATAGCTGAACAACTGAAAGAATTTTAATATTTAGTTACACTTTCAGTAGCATTCACGTTTCAATAACACTTTAGGAACTACAGTGAAATGTTATATAGATTTGAGCAACTAAAACTACAGAATCTATGAGTTCCTAAAATTTTATATTAAAAGGCGAAGATAGAAGCTGCGTAACGTGGTGCGATCGAATCCTCAAATATAAAATACATCCGTTTATTGATTTCCCCATCTTATACAAAGGGGTTAAAGAAAAGAGAAATAAATTAAAACAAGATCAGGCAGATATCTCCCGCCTAAGGTTGACTGACGAGGGTGAGGGCAAACTGGAGAAAATTGCAATTGTCACACAAAATAGAAATCAGGGTTTACGTATAGCCGAATAGGCTTCAGGAATTTAGGACGAATACTCAATTAAGCTTTCATACCATTCATGGAATCTGTTTTATTAACTTCGTTAATCTATGATAGTACAGAGAAGGACCAAGAGATATTCTGCAATGTTGTACAATGTTCATCAACTTTGTTTCTCTAATTTCTATAATTTGTTATAAATTGAATAATTTAGTGGTATTGGTGGCCTTGGAGAATATTGCTTAATATTTAGGAAAATTTCTTAAAAATCGTTTATATTATGTACAATACACAATGTGTTGTAGACAGAATACTTGAAGGTAAAAAGGTAAAAAAATAATGTACATTACTTGCTTTTATTATTTGCCTTTATACATTACTTAAATGTTACTTGGTGGCGAAAGTGCTTGGGTTATGTAAATTAAAATTTGATATATGAGAAAAATGTGAATATTCGTTTATACATTTTACCCCAAGCATTAAAAATACATCGTAATGAGGAATCTTTACCGGAAACTGAAAATCGTCTTACAAGTCGGAGAGAGTCAAGTAGAGTGTTTGCAGTGGCTTGAAGAGTATAATAATATAAATATACAAATTCACACTAGGAAATCGAGGTCTGAGCGTTCCCAACGTACACGAGATTAGAGAGAAAGATAACAAACGTCAACGACTAGAGTTTATAATCGAGATTTAGCTCACAGTAACAGATCAGCTTTCATGCATTTAGCTCAACAATCTTCCGTCCAAATCGTAGCCAAGAATAAGATCTGCTCTAAGTGTTCTGCCAAAAATGGGTCGATGAACCAAATGGTATGTGCTATGCTTCTTTTGACAAATAATCATTCACCATCTGGACATTTTTAACCAACATTCGAAAGTGCAATTAGCCTCTTTCAAATGATTTCGTTTAGCGTGAACTTTAAAAATAGAGGGACAAGTATACAAGTTATCATCATCCTCGTGCCCTTATCCCACCTAGGTGTGATCGGCACAACGTGAATCATGTTGTAAACGGTTTTGGCTACATTTTTACAACCAGCCGCCTGCATCACGTCAACCTTCCTTGGGAAACAAATACCCAGATAAAATTTTAACTGTGTAACTATCATGGTTCATGAGATACAGCCTGTTGACAAAGGGACAAACGGACAGCGGAGTCTTAGTAGTAGGGTCCCGTTTTATCTTTGGGTACGGCATCCAAAAAGGATCCAGAGATATAGTGTTGCACGGTAGACACGGCCAACTTAAAAGTGTCTCTGAGTTACACCGATTGTATGATCCATAAAAATATCCCTTAATAGTCTTAATAGGAGAAGACGGTTAATATTTGACTATTCCTCAGCAAGGTACTGTGCGTAAAAAAACTGTGACATGCATGCAATTGTATGCATTTAGGTTGATGGTTAGAGCTACCTGTTTTAATCCATTGCATTATTACTGGGACTTAGTAGGGTTCCGTACCCTAAGGGTAAAGCGGCACCCTATTACTAAGACTCCGCTGTCCATCTATA